GCCGCTTGTCTTCTTTGGCCCCTTCCCCCGCTTGGCGGAGGTACTTGGAGGGGTCGGCCCTCACCTGGGCCACCGCCCGAGCCAGGGTCTGTGCGGCCCGAGGGGACAGGCCTTCCAGGAGGTTCCACTGGGGGAGGAAGTAGTTGGGGAGGTGCCCGTGGAGCAGGCTGGCGCACAGGTCGTCCAGGAGCCCCAGCCAGGAGTGGGCTGCGTTCTCCTCCTGGGCCAGGTAGCTGCTGGGCAGTCGCTCGCAGGACCACAAGCTCAGGGCGAAGAGGTGGTACGGCCCCAGGCCCCGGAGGCCTCCCCAGGGGAGGGCAGCTATGGCGGCGCGCAGGGACCGCAGCAGCGGGAGAGGAAGGATCCTCCTCAGGTGCAGCTCGCTAGCCGAGAAGGCCAGCTGCCAGTCGGAGCCGGACGCCGAAGGGAGGAGGTAGAAGCTGCCGGCAACGTCTTCGTCCCTCAGCTTGCCGTCCCAGAAGTGGGCCTGGCTCAGCCACGGCTGGGCCACCTCGGGCCAGCCCCTAAGGGCCACCACGGGGATGATGTCGTAGAGGACGCGGGAGGGTCCCACGCAGATGACCACGGAGGTGACGCGGCCCCGGAGCTCGACCCGAAGATCCTTGGCGGCTGAGGAAAAGGCGCGGAAAAACCACTCGGAGACCAGCTCTGCGGAGAGGAAAGTCTGGTCCCCGGAGCTGCACTCGGACCAGCGTTGCAGCGTTGTGGCGTCAAAGGGGCCCAGGCTGATCTGGGCGTGGCCGGGGGCGCTGTGCTTCATGTCCAGAGTGACGGGCACCCCAGCCGCATGCAGAACCGGCACCAGGAGCGTGAAACTGGTATCGTAGTCGCCGCCGGGAGAAAGAGGGCGCAGGGAGGGCAAGTCCACGTGGACTGTGCCCTGCTGGGTTCCGCCGGAGAGGAGGAGGTAGCAGTTGACCGGGGGCAGTTTCCCATCGGATCGTTGGACCTCACCTGGGTGGGAACAAGGCAGGGGGTGGAAAAAGAACCGCGGCCACGCAGAGGACCCTTTTGGCGGGGAGATCCACGTCAAAGGGAGAAGCCAAACAGAACAAAGACGGGGGTGAACAGACCTCTCACGGGTCGGTGGCTTTATTACATATATTTTGGCTTCTAATTAGACCAGGAACGTAGGTCCTGATCCAATGAGCTAAGGGGGTGACCTCTGGCCGCCCCAACGTGGTGCTCTCCAGAGGTTCCTAGCCACCCGATGGCTAGCGATTCCAGTCTCGGGCACCAACACATCTGGACAGCCCCAAGTTGGGACGAGCTGACTTGACTCAGTCCGAGGAACTGAAATTATTTCCCCACCCAAACTGCTACCGGCAAGAGGGAAACGACAAGGCTAGATTGTATCGGCATAGGATCGACAGTGCTTCTGCAGTGAAAACCCGCAAAGGGAAAGATTGCGCCCGACCTTCATTAATGAATGGAACGCTGCCATCGGGAAAGGCAGGGGAAGGGATCCCCCCCCCCCCCCCGTTGGTGTGGAAGGGATTAGATGCCCCCCCCAGTGGGGATTTGACCAGGGTGTGAATGAAGGTGAATGAATGAGAGCCTGGTTTGTTTTAATGGCTAAAGGGTGCCTCTATGGTGCCACCCTATCCGTGGACCTCTGGGAGGGGAGCAAACAGGGTGCCGCCCTGAACTGATCCAACCTCTCTGCACTTTGATTAGAGTTGCACACAGAGGAATTTGGGGCGCTGCAGCTTCCCTGGTCTCTGCGGGCCCATTCTTTCACCCCAGCAACCCCAAAGGGCCTAGAATTCACCCTTTCCCGCAGGCGGGCAGAACTCCTTGGCATCGGCCCCTCCTGTCCACAGCCATCAGCAAGGACCAGGGCTGGGTCATGTCGCAGATGGTGGCTGGCTCATCTTCCGGGGCACCTTTTGCACACTGTACCCAAGGCACCGTCAGCGCTGGCAATTACTGTTCTCAATCCTCCTGCCTTTTTCTTTCTTCCCATATCTATTGCTGGAGAGGCCCATTTCCTGGCATTTTTTTATTATCAGAGCCTGGGGGAGGTGGACCAGGCCTTTCTCCCCTCCCCCAGAGGTCTGTGCAGCCCCCTCCTGGGTGGCATTTCAAAAAAGAGCCCCCCAGCCCGATTCCACCAAGTTTTTAAGCTGGGCGGATGGCCTGCGCTGCCCATCTCGGGGAGATGCTCGCAGGGCATACATCGCTTTAGGTTTTTACTCTGTCGTAGCCTGGCCGGAGTCTGTGGACTGGGGCGGGCTAGAAGGCGGTACGTCAGTGACCAAAGCCCGGAGGGCCGAAGGGTGGCCGAGCGCGTCCCCTCTCGACGGCCCCAACTCACCCAGCAGCGAAAAAACCAGGTCTTTGGCTTGAAACAGCTCCGGGGCGTCGCAGCCCCCGGGGGCCCTGGCGTCGTATTCCTGGATGAGTTGGTTGAGCTCCTCGATCTGCACCCCGGAGCGGAAATCCAGGTCCGTGAGGGGCTTGGCTGGGGCCGGCTTGGGGGGGGCGTCCTCAGGAGGAGATGCCATTCCCCGGTTCAGTCTTTCAACGCAGCTTCCTTGAAGAAGCAACAGTTAGTCACGGGGAGAATAACCGGGGGCGGGGGCTTCCACATGCAATACCCCGCCCGGACTAGACCCGGAAGCTAAGCGGGGTCTGGCCTGGTCCTTGGATGGGAGACCACAAGGAGACCCCGGGTGGTGGGCTTCACGGGGAGGCTGAGAAGGCCGAGAAAAGGACGGGGACGCGCCCAGAGCTGGAGCCATGGAGCTGGAGCCCGGGCATCCGGGTCGGAGCAGGTGCAACGCGGCAGCCGCGCCACGCCCGCCTCCCCCCC